AAGGGGACCACTTTGCTGTTTGTCAGGAAGGCAGGAGAGGAGGACTCCAACAAGGCCAGTCTCCCAAGGGAAAGGGTCCCACAGGTGGGCTAGAGCTGGCCCAAAGTGGCCGAGATGGTGATCGGCCATGTGTGGGGCGCTGTTGGTGTTTTTTCCTCAGCAAAGGATGGAGGGAGTGGACCTGGGGGAAGGGCAGGTGGGCATCTCTGGAGCAATACTGCCATCAAGAGGAACTCATTTGGCAATCCTGCGCACCCTTCCCTGTGCTTGCCTGGGAAGGAGTGGCTTGGAAGTGCTGTGGGGGACCAGGCAGGACTAGGGCTGGTGTCCGGACAGATTTGAGCTCTCTGGAAGCCTGAGAGAAGTGAGCCTGTGGTCAATTCAGGCCATGAAAGCCCCAAAGATAGGCACCAGGATGCCTGGCTGGTCCTGCACAGGAAGCCTTGGTTGGGGAGCGTGGTGGCAGCCATGTCTGGGAGGGACTAGCGGAGGTCTGGGCCAGGAAGTGTCAGCTCGTGTCAGCTCAGGGCCATCGGCCCTTTTCCTTGTGCCCCTTGGGAGCAAGGGGCAGGATACCCTAGAGGTGTACCTGGCCTGGGAGGTTTTCTTGGCTACCGGGCACCCCCAGTGAAGGTCCACTCCCAGTGCTGGAGTTCTGTGGCCATTGGTGCTTGTGGTGGCTGGCATTGGAGTGTTCTTCCTATCTCTGGGAGAAGACAGGCTGCCTGAGACCCTGTGGGCCCATACTCAGACCTTTTTTTTTTTTTTTTTTTTTTTTTTGACATGATTGAAGCAATGCTATGCCCAGCCACCTTGAGAAGCCACCCACCTTTGCAACCCTGTTTTTCTGGTGTCCCTGTTCCAAAGGATGGGACCATTGTCTTGGAGCAGGCCCATCTCCCTTGCGTTCATTTCTGTTTCACATTCTTCTACCATCTTCACTGCCACTCCAACATGATTGCTCATACAGCTATACACAGGAATGGCCTTTGCTTCCTTCTCCACCTGTGCTCAGGGAGCTGCAACTCAGAGAGTCAGGAGTCCTTGCCAAATTAACTAGTGTTGCATTTAGTCGTTCCTCATCTTCCCCACTGTGCTCCTCTCTGTACACCCAACCCTATCCACATTTTTAAAATAATATTATTTCATATCCCGCCCCCCCCATTAAGAAGGTGTGCCTTGCCAAGAAACAGGGGCATGCTCACTGACACATAGCTCTTTTCTGTTGTCTCTGCCTCTCCCTAGAGGCGATTTCTAGAAAACCTGTAGGATGGGTCATGTCATTTGCCAGCTTCTGCCTTCCTTGGTTTGTGCTCCCTGGTCTGCACTTTCCCAAAGACCAAATAGGACATCTCAAACAAAGCCCAGACCTTCATTCCTTTATTTTTATTTTTTACACCTACTAGATGAAAACTGCTCCTTTTTACCCTGTGTTTTTCATGTGTGAGTTTCCCTACATGTTACACTGTTGTATTATTTGGGCAAAACCTCTTGGATCCAACCGATTTTATACTTGTCAAGCTCCAAGGCAGCATCCAGACCTAGAATATCTGATCATTCCCTAGCCCAAGGCTGTGAGATTAGTGGTTTGAGTGTGCTCCTTTGGCGTGGGCCATCACCATAGGACAGCTGAACCCACAGAACATACAACAACTTGAGTGTGAATCCAAGTGTTCCCAAGAGACAAACCAGGTCATACCCCTAGAGATCAGGGAACAGGGAAACCCTGGAATATTCCCAAACTGAAGTGAATTTTCAATGTAGTCCCAGGTCTCTTGACTCCTCAGGATGATGTACTACTCGACATCAACAACCAGTGGATACTCTGTGCCCTAAGGAAAAGATTGACAGAATAGTATCCTGTGGCACCCTTGACCCAGCCTTTCTTTGAGGGGAGCAAGAGGAAACCAGACAAAATTTGAAATGCAATGCACACAGGTTACCATTTCTTTTCTCAGTGTGGTACCCAATAATCAGTAAGTTCTCTGTCTTCTTTATAAAAGATAATACTGATGATGTGGCCACTGCCACCTCCCCATTATTTGGCTGGGCCGGGGTCCTCCAGATGAGACATTAGTTCTCAGGATTTACACAGCCCCAAGACCTCCAGGGCAAGGACCCCTCTCTTCCCCTAACCTTTCTTCTGCACCAAGAGCAAAGATCCATAGTCTCAATACCCTGCAGTAGCTTCAGCTCCCGGTTTCCAAACACGGTGGCCACCAAGGCCTGGCCTCCATTTTGTGAATAATGCCAAGGGAGTCCTAAAACCAGTCCAAGACCTTGAAGTGGGGTTTACTCTGTTTAGGTTCTTGGGATAAACTGGAATTCCTTTCTCTCATGCCCTCAGTGGGGAATATAAATGCCTGTGAAATAATTCATCAAAAGGACTAGCTCTATTGAGCTATTCCTGGGCAGACTTTTGAGTTTACACAGGTTATCTTAGGTAAAATTGTTTCACGAAAACAAAGACTCATAACTTGAAATGGGCCAAGTACCTGGATTACTCTTATCCTGGAATTACTGACACTTTCCTTTACACACAGATGCAGACCAACCCAGTTCAGCAGGCTAATCTACCTTAAAGGCTAAGGAACAGGTATGAAAGGGAATGATAGATGATTCTAGGGAAAGCAGGAATTGGCAGGTAGAATTAAGTAGCTGTGAAGCAGACTTTGCTTGTTTTTATGTTTTGTTTTGTTTTTAACGACAACCTATCTGTGCTGCAGTAATTGTGTTGGCCTAGCAGCCTACATGATCCTATTGGCGATACTGGACAAAAGGGCCCAATCAAAATGCTAGGAAATTTCCGTTTTTAAAAATTTCTAATGATCAAGGACAATGCCATTTTACATACATGTCAACTTACAGCATGAGATTTTCAAAATTACAGGGGCTCACATTAGGAATACCAGTCATACGAAATACCATATGCCTCGCCGTTTACTATCTCCTTGACCCCAACGAATTTCCTTTGAAATTTCAACAACATGCTTTCTTCTACCTCTCAGTCTCTATCACTCTCCCTGTCGCCAGGACCAGATTCCAACACGCTTAGGAAGACAGCGGTCCCCCTCGGCTGATGCCCAGAGAGTCTCCATTACGCAAGCTTTCCTACCAAACCCATCGGTCGGTGCGCCTCTGATCACAGGCCAAGGCCTGCGCACCCCCAAAGACAACCGGGGTCCCCGGAAGGCCCCCAGGCTGAAATGAGCACCACCGGGAATGGCCGGCCTCCAAGACAACTTGGGGGCATGGACACCACAAGACAGGGTCGCAGGTCTCAACGAGGCGGATGCCTGGTGTCTGAGGGGGGCCGGGCCGGGCCTGGCCTCGCCTTGGCGTCCACCTCGTCTGGAAGCGTCTGGGTACGGGCCCCGCAGGATGCCCCGCGGCCCACCTTCCTCCCTAGGCCGCAAGGAGCAACACCCCGGCGCCGGCCAGTCCCGGCGGGCACCGGCGCCACTGGCCACGGAACTCAGCTCTGGCAGTGGCCCCTCCTCACTGGCGTGCAGTGCGGCCGAGGGAGCCTCCCGGGGCCGAGGACCCAACTAGGCCGTCACCCCGGGTGCTCCCACGGAAACGGGCACCAGGCAAACTGCCCACGGCCCCGAGCCCAGGCTCCTTGGCGGAGGCCTCCGCTAGTCCCGCCCAGATCATGGCCGCCACCAGCCTCCCGGGCCTTGGCTTCCTGTACGGCAACCGCCAGGCGTCCCGGCTGTCCAGCTAGACCTGGCGCCTGTGTCTGGGGCTTCCAGGGCGCGAACTGGCGGCGGACCCTGCTTCCCTCGGGCCTCCAGAGACCTCGGATCCGTCCGGGCACCGGTCCTAGTCCTGCCTGCTCCCCCAGGGCAGTCCCAAGCCACTCCTCCCCAGGCGAGCACAGGGACCGGTGCTCGATTGCCAAGCGGGTTCCTCTTGATGGCAGTATTGCTCCAGAAATGCCCACCTGCCCTTCCCCCATGTCCACTCCCTCCGCCCTCTGCGGAGGAAAAAACGCCAAGAGCGCTCCGCACATGGCCCTTCAGCATCTCGGCCGCTTTGGGCCAGCTCTGGCCCACCTGCCGGACCCTGTCCTTGGCAGACGGGACTCGGCAGGGTCCTTCTACTAGCCTGCCTTCCTGACAAACCAGAAAGCGGTCCCCTTGGGCCGCCCTGGGGATGCAGCCCAACTAACCGCATCCCTAACCATGCCTTTGGGATGGGGAGGATGGTGGAACCCGCAGGGAAGAGAAGGAGACTGGGCACATAGTAGGATGCCAGCCCTAGCTCTGCCCTCCGGGACACAATTGCACTTGGGCGTACTCACGGGTCACTGCAAAGCCAGCTTGACCAAGAGGTCAAAGGCGACCGGCGTCCCACTGACCCCTGGGGTTTTGGCCTCAGACTTGAGGTGAACCTACAATTCCGGAAGAGCGGGACCGGGTCCCGGGCCCTTCCCTTGTGGCAGCAGCGGCAAGGTGCTGGTGGAAGAGCCCTGGCCAGCATAGGTCAGACAGGAGGGGAGCCAGCTGCCACCCCAAACACACCTGTCCTCCTCACACCTGGCCTACGTCCAACTCTCCACGGCCCTGCCCGGAAGGCTGGACGTAGAAATCCCACAGAGGCGTGCATGCCGTTGAGGGCTCGTGGGTGCCATGGAGGGGCGGTAGATGGCCCAGCCCCAAGTGTACCGATCTTCCTCCCCAAACCTATTCTGTGACGGAAACCCGATGTTCACCTCGTCAAGCAGTCAAGGCGTGGGCAGAGGCCTGACGTCTGCTGCAGGAACACAGTGACATTGAATGCTCTTCCCAAGACAGACAAATCACTAGGGACACACTATGCCAAGCTGCTACCTCCCTGGCCCTTTCCGGACTCTTTGACCCCCACGGACTTTCCCTAGGGATTTTCCACGACACACTTTCTTCTCTCTCTCTCTCTCTCTCTCTCTCTCTCTCTCTCTCTGTCTCTCGCTCTCTCTGTCTCTCTCAATCCCATAATCACTCTCTCTCTCGTGCCAGGTTCGCGCCCAGCGCTCTCTCGCCCACTTCTACTGGGGCCTGCTTCCTCTCCTGCTCTCTCTGTCTCAACGTCATTGATTTTCTCGTACTGCCCGGGACGTCTTGCCCACGTGTGCCTTTAAAACGCTAAGAGATGCAACTGAACGTGTGAGACATGGCGCAGATAGGCCGAGAGGCGGCAAGAGAAATGCCCCAGAACTCAAGAACCCGGCCACGCCCTCCGCTTCTACCACCACCAGCAACACCAACCCAGGGGCCTGCTTTCGCGGTCCCCCTAGCCAAGGTGAGGCAAGTCCCACTTGAATGTCATCCCGTTCCTCTTGGGAACGCTGGACCGCGCTCAACCTTAACTGTGCGTTGAGGTGGAAGTTGGATTTCTCTTTGCATGACAGTGTCTCTGCACAAGGCCGTGGAGGGGCACACGGATCCACCTGGCTCGCTCTCTAGCTGGATTCAGGTGGAACGGAGGACCATGAACACTCAGGACTTTTTCTGCTTGGGTCCTGTGCTTTTCAGGTTTCGGGCCTAAGAGGCCCATCACCTCCTTATACCTTTTTTCTGAGTATTAAAAAAAAAAAAAAAAAAAAAAGAAACCTGGACATTCCACCTGTCACCTCAGAAGGGTCCTCGGTGTTCCTTTTCTACTCCTGAATTCAGCGACATAGTGCTGATCTCCATCCATTGGACGCGAGTCCCCGTTCTCTTGGGGACTCCTGGACACTCTGGGAAATGCCAGAAAGCCTCGGGGAATGGCCCCGTCCGCTGCTGTACCAGACCGGGTCCTGCGAAAGATGCATCTTCCGAGCCTCCTCCCTGCACGTCCCGTTGGACCTGCCCCGATTCTACCTCAGGGACCCACTGGAGGAGAGGCACAGGGATGCTGCCTCAGCAGCAGACCCTTCTAGCGCTGAGCAGGCTGTCCCCAGGCAGGCAGAGTCCGACGGGTCCTTCCTCCTGGGACTCCAGCAGGCCTAGGAAAGCAGCGGTCCCCCTCGGCTGATGCCCAGAGAGACTCCATTACGCAAGCTTTGCCACCGAACCCATCGGTCGGTGCGCCTCTGATCACAGGCCAAGGGCCTGCGCACCCCCAAAGACAACCGGGGTCCCCGGAAGGCCCCCAGGCTGAAATGAGCACCACCGGGAATGGCCGGCCTCCAAGACAACTTGGGGGCATGGACACCACAAGACAGGGTCGCAGGTCTCAACGAGGCGGATGCCTGGTGTCTGAGGGGGGCCGGGCCGGGCCTGGCCTCGCCTTGGCGTCCACCTCGTCTGGAAGCGTCTGGGTACGGGCCCCGCAGGATGCCCCGCGGCCCACCTTCCTCCCTAGGCCGCAAGGAGCAACACCCCGGCGCCGGCCAGTCCCGGCGGGCACCGGCGCCACTGGCCACGGAACTCAGCTCTGGCAGTGGCCCCTCCTCACTGGCGTGCAGTGCGGCCGAGGGAGCCTCCCGGGGCCGAGGACCCAACTAGGCCGTCACCCCGGGTGCTCCCACGGAAACGGGCACCAGGCAAACTGCCCACGGCCCCGAGCCCAGGCTCCTTGGCGGAGGCCTCCGCTAGTCCCGCCCAGATTATGGTCGCCACCAGGCTCCCGGGCCTTGGCTTCCTGTACGGCAACCGCCAGGCGTCCTGGCTGTCCAGCTACACCTGACTCCTGTCTCTGGGGCTTACAGGGTGCGAACTGGCGGCGGACCCTGCTTCTCTCGGGCCTCCAGAGACCTCGGATCCGTCCGGGCACCGGTCCTAGTCCTGCCTGCTCCCCCAAGGCAGTCCCAAGCCACTCCTCCCCAGGCCAGCACAGGGACCGGTGCTCGATTGCCAAGCGGGTTCCTCTTGATGGCAGTATTGCTCCAGAAATGCCCACCTGCCCTTCCCCCATGTCCACTCCCTCCGCCCTCTGTGGAGGAAAAAACGCCAAGAGCGCTCCGCACATGGCCCTTCAGCATCTCGGCGCTTTGGGCCAGCTCTGGCCCACCTGCCGGACCCTGTCCTTGGCAGACAGGTCTCGGCAGGGTCCTTCTACTAGCCTGCCTTCCTGACAAACCAGAAAGCGGTCCCCTTGGGCCGCCCTGGGGATGCAGCCGAACTAACCGCATCCCTAACCATGCCTTTGGGGTGGGGAGGATGGTGGAACCCGCAGGGAAGAGAAGGAGACTGGGCACATAGTAGGATGCCAGCCCTAGCTCTGCCCTCGGGACACATTTGCACTTGGGCGTACTCACGGGTCACTGCAAGGCCAGCTTGACCAAGAGGTCAAAGGCGATCGGCGTCCCACTGACCCCTGGGGTTTTGGCCTCAGACTTGAGGTGAACCTAGAATTCCGTTATAGCCGGACATGTCCCAGGCCCTTCTGCCATGGAGGTAGCTGCCATGGACTGTGTAAAGATCCCACACCACCTTTGGTCACACACGAGGGGAGCTTACTACCCCGAACCCACCTGTCATCCTCACATCTGGCCTATTCCACTCTCCTCAGCTCTTCCTGGAAGACTGGACTAGAAACCTAGAGAGGCATCCATGTCCTTGAGGAGTTGTGTGGGCGATGGGGAAGCGGGTAGATTGTCCCGGCCCCAAGTGTACGGATCTTCCTTCCCAAACATATTCTGTGAGAGAAACCCTTTGTTGACCTCTTCGGGCAATGAATTCGTGGGCAGAGGCCTGCTGTCTGCTTCAGGAACACAGTGACATTGAATGCTCTTCTGAAGACAGATTTAACAGTAGCAACACACCAAGCAAGCTGCTAGCTTCCTGGCCCTTTCCAGTATTCTTGTTCCCCACGGACTTTCCTTTGGATTTTTCTACAACATTGTTCTCTCTCTGTCTGTCTGTCTCTGTCTATCTCTCTGTCTCTCTTCTGCCACATTCCGGCCCAACGGCATCTCAACCACTTCTTCTGGGCCTGCTTCCTTTTCTGCTCTCCATGTCTCTACATGATTGGGTTTCTTGGAGTGTCTTGAACTTCTTGCCCACGTGTGCCTTTAAAGGGAATATGGACATATAAGAACACGCAATATTCATCACGGAAAAAAAAAAATCAAAGTTGGAAAAGCTCTAACAGGAATTGTGTTTTTACATGTCACCGCAGAACTTATGTGAGTTATTTCATTTTGTTAATAAGGCCGGGGCCAGCCAGGCACTTCAGTTCCAGAACTTTGGGAAGTCAAGGTGAGTGGATTGTTTGAGCTCAGCAGTTCTAGTCCAGCATGAGCAATATGGCGGAACCTCATCACTGTAAAAATAAGAATAATTAAAAAAAAAAACCCATCAAAGGCCGGGCGCAGTGGCTCATGCCTGTAATCCCAGCACTTTGGGAGGTCGAGACGGGCGGATCACGAGGCCAGGAGATGGAGACCATCCCTGCTAACATGGTGAAACCTCGTCTCTACTAAAAATATTTTAAAAATTAGCTGGGCGTGGTGGCGGGCGCCTGTAGTCCCAGGTACTTCGGAGGCTGAGGCAGGAGAATGGCGTGAACCCAGGAGGCGGAGCTTGCAGTGAGCCGAGATCAAGCCACTGCACTCCAGCCTGGGCGACAGAGCGAGACTTCCTCTCCAAAAAAAAAAAAAAAACAAAACAAAACAAAGCCATCCAAACAATGACCAAAACTAGCCCGGTGTGGTAGTACGCACTTGTTATCACAGCTACTTGGGAGGATGTGGTTGGGGGTTTGCTGGAGGTGAGAAAGTTGAGGCTGCACTGAGTCTTGAAGGTGCCACAGCATTCCAGCCTGGGCAACAGAGGAAGACTCTGTCTCAAGAAAGGAGGAAAGAATCAGAGAAGGAAAGAGAAAAGAAAGCCAAACTTTTGCCTCAGTATCAGTAACAAGAAACATGTGCACATACAGGACAGATACACACACACTGAGCACTGTCATCTAGAATAACCAATGTAATTGTGTTTTCTTTCCTTTTTGACTTTTTGTCTACATAATTTGTCCAACTTGTATCGATATTTTGTATTATTACCACTATCTTCTATTATCGTTGATACCTTAAATTATTTCTTTATAATCTTCTTTTTATTTCATAAATAATCATGGCCATTTCAAATCCTATTTTACAGAACGGTAGAAAGATGAAAATGCGAAAGCCCGGAAATTTTCTTATTGTTGTTGTTTCAGACGGAATCTCACACTGTCCCCAGGGCTGGAGTGCAGTGGCACGGTATCAGCTCACTGCAACCTCCCCCTCCCGGGTTCAAGCGATTTTCCTGCCTCAGTCTCCCGAGTAGCTGGGATTACAGGCACCCGCCACTAAACCCAGCTAATTTTTTGTATTTTTAGTAGAGACGGGGTTTCACCATGTTGGCCAGGCTGGTCTTGAACTCCTGACCCCGTGATTCGCCCGCCTTGGCCTCCCAAAGTTTAGGGATTACAGGCGTGAGCCACCTCACCTGGGCAAGTCCAGGAAAATTTTGAGGGCTTGTCCTTCCATGTTGTTAAGTGCATACATGGAAATGTACTATAATGCCTTTTTTCTTTCTTTTTTTAAAAGAAAGGTTCTTGCTCTGATGCCCAAGATGGAGTGCAGTGGAGCAATCCCAGCTCACTGCAGCCGCAACGTCCTGGGCACAAGCAATCCTCCCGCCTCAGCCTCCCAAGTAGCTGGAACTACAGGCCCACGCCATCATGCCTGGCTAATTTTTGTGTAGAGACGGGGTTTCGCCAGGTTGGCCAGGTTGGTCTCGAACCCCTTGCCTCAAGTGATTTTCCCACCTCAGCCTTCCAAGGTGCTGGGATTACAGGCGTGAGCCACTGCGCCCAGCCTGAAGCTGTATTTCTTTTTGGTCAAATATTCGTTAGAGGAAATGTTTCTTCTTCAGTTTTACATTGCGGGGAGTCCAGCCCCTGTGGGCAGGGCGGCCATGAAGTTTAACAACCACTCAATCTAAACCGAACGAGAGCGCACACCTCCTCAGCCATGTAGGTGGGAACACGAGTGGGACGAAGGAATCTGAGGTCGCACCCTTCTCCCTCTGCCCGCCCTGCCACAGGAGACGCTTCCAGGCTCCCGACGGGGAGGGCCAGAAAGGCTCTACTAGGAGGACCTCCCTACACTTGCCAGAACTAAAACTGAGGCAGCGGCAAAAACTCGGCGTCCAAAACGCTCCCTAAAGCCCTCCGATGCCCGCAGGACGCTGGAGCCAGCCCGGCTGCAGCCGCCATTGCGCAAGGTCGCGCGCCCGGCACTGGCTGCCCAGAAGCGGGAGGGCAGGGAAGGTCCTCTGTACCAGAAAGGCTGACCACGGCACAAACACTGATCCCATGTCCTGTGTCAGGGAAAGGGAAGGCAAAGAAAAGAAAGAGAAGGCCAAGGAGACCTACCTGATTGAGGTCACGCGCCAGCGGGAAAGGCCCAGTCCGCTCTACGTCCCGCAGTTGCAACTCAGATACGGGGTAGGATGCCCCCTCCCCATTCCTGGGAGGTGAGGGCTGAAAGAATCCTAGGAGGGGAAGGGAGAGGAATCCGGTCTTCCTAGAGCCGGCTCCGCCCAGGATAGGAGTGGGGGGCGGGGGGGGGTCCTCAGGCTGTCCAGGTGCAAGAAGGGGCGGAGAGAGGCAGCCTTGGGAAAGTTGGGTGGGAAACC